TCTATGAGCAATAAGATCAGATAATAGTCCAATATGATTGCAGGTGTTGATTTCATCAAAGAATAACCATGTTTCCCCTTTGTCTGCTTCCTTTTGAGCATCTCTGACAAATTCAATGATTTTTTCTTCTTGAACACCAGCATGTAAATTTAATGCCTTAAAATCAACTTCAGCAACAATTGCCAAAAATGCTATCAAGCTTGTCTATTTAAAATTACAAAAAAAAACTTTAATATTTTTTTACAATAGTGACAAATCTTTTGCAATATTGATTATTTTAAAATAATTATAAAGAAAACAGCAAGAATTTACCTTTCCACAACCAGCTTCACCACAAACAATTACTGGAATATTTGCATGAGCTCTTGATAGTATAAGTGCCATTTTGATTAAATTGTCAGCAGAGAGTGCATAATTAGGATGTTTAATATCAAGTAAGGTTCTTCTTGCAAGACCTTCTAATATGTCTAGAAGAACTTTTGATTCCAATTGATTATAATCATCAAGCTCATCTTTTTTTTGTCCAACTGATTGACTCTCCAGCAACATCTTTACATTATCTGGAACCTTTGTTTTATCACGATATAGAGCACAAATTGAGTCAGGTGATTGTGACATGAAAAATACAAGTAGATGATTTGAATCATCCCATCTAACTATTGTACCCAATCTTGCAATTTCGGAATTATTTGTTGATTCTAATTGAGCAGCTTTAGTTTTGATTGACTTGGTTGCAAAATTTTTTGATATTTCAAGTAATGCACCAAATAAGGTTGATATAATGTTTTTTTCTTTTATCATTAATTTAAGGTCCCCAACTTGAAGATATTGAATTGAAGGAAACCTTACTAATTGATCAGCAAACACATTCACAAAAATTTCTATAAATCTAAATGATGAAATGTTATCTGCATTTTTTTGATTAAAGAAATATTTTGTAATAAGTTCATGACACGTGTTTGCAGGTAAAGGGACTATGATTTTGAATAAAATATCTAGCTCTGGTTCTTCAGCAGTCTTATTATCAAATTTATTTAGATAATGACATACTATTTGAATTGGACTATTGATTTCTTGAGATACTGTAAGGTTATTAATATTCCATGACAAATGTTTTCTCTTCAAATAACTTGTGACTGGCATAGAATTTAATAATTGTTGTTCAGTTGTCGAAGCTATCTCAATATAAATTTCAGTTGTAGGTAAAATAGCTATATCTACACCATTAGAAACTATTCCTAAAATCAATAATTCAAAAAGAAACATGTTTACTTCACTAGGATTTTCAGCTGAAACAATGTTCAAGTGTAAACTTTCTACTTTTTGTAATTTAGATTCTTTAAGTTGACTAACAAGCTTACTAAAATTTAAACCATCACTGATTAAAAGACTACAAGTAACTTTTCCTTTTTCCAAACTGTCTTGTTTAATCCATTTTGTTTTTCCTTGCCCAGAGAGATCTGAAGATACAGAAATCACATTTGGACACAAATCATGGAAGATTGTTTTCATTGATTCAGTACTCAGCCCATTAGTTCTACATACATCTTGTGAAAATTGATCTAAAATGTGATGATGTAATCCAGGCTCATGACAACAAATCAATGCCAACAAATAATTTTTTTCATGTTCACACATTGACCTGATAAATTTAACCAAATCATATTGTAATTCCAAATCTAGTAATTCTAAATATGCTATGCAAAATAAATGATCTTTATGCCCATTATTTGCTGCAAAAAAACAACGCTTAATAAAAATTGTTAATTCTTCTGAGGTTGTTAA